CAAAATATGTTAGTCCGTAATTTTTTCTTCATCATTTCTTAAAAAAAGGAGGAAGAGATTGATAAATGGAGAAACATAAGAGATATCTTGCATGCAACTCCTACCGCCATCTTGCATTCACTTTTGCGAATATTATCCCTTGGTATTGTTGGTCAGTCACCCTTTTAACCATTGTTTGGTCCATATAGTTATAAAGAAAGAAATGGCATTATTTTTAGGGACACAACTTGAGATGAAGATAGAATCTTTGAGTTAATTCAAGTAAAATCCTTGCGTTGGATCAATGGAAAATCAAAGTTGTCGGCATTTGGTTTTAGTGACTATAGTGCCTATTCCCTCAGTTGTGTTATGTAAAAGGTTAGTCAGTTTTTTATTTTTGTATAACTTTTTTTGAGATTTCTATTTTCTTTAAAATGTTTAATTCTATACTCATTTAAAGAGTTAGAATAATCCTTGTATTCCATTCAATAAATTTATTTTCTTATAAAAAACATAATTAAGATTTAACATATAGAAGGGGATTATTGATGACTGCTGGCATATACGGGTAGAAGATGTTATTGTTGGCCCCTCTGTATTGATTCAAACGTCCCTTACTTTGATTTTTCGTTGATCACTCAGATTTGAGCATTAATTGTTCACACCTTCATTCTTCAAGGAAGGCAATGGGTTGGGGTTGGGTGGGTTTGTTCTACCAAAGTATAAAATTGTTCATACTTTTAGTTAAGATTTATTCACATTTACTAAAAATAATTATTGTTTTTATTTTAAAAGTTATAATAAATCTCAACTATTGAAAGTAAAGAAATGAATAATTAAAATTTTATATAACTGTAGTAATGTAGTATATAAAACTTGAGTGTGAATGGATCTCTTCTTTCATTTAATTAATCACCTCCTTTTTAGAAGGAGTGAGGAAAAAATTATGTACTAATATGGGGGTGTTTGTTTTGATATTTTACAAATAGTTATCAACAATTGACTCTAATAAAATTAATTAAATAATTTAAATTATAAACAACAATAATTATAATTATTTATCAATCACTTCCTCCTTTTTTTTTTAGAAGGGGTAGTAAAGAAAAATTTGCGTACTATCATATTTTGGATGAAGTAATAATATTTAATAAAAGAGGCAAAAAAATATTGTCCCTTGTCTCCATTTAAAGAATGACCTCCTTTTTTAAGGAGTGACGAAAAATTAATTTATAAATA